AGAAGTTATTTTTCCAGTTTGGGAAAAATAACATCCACTTAGAATATAATTATTCACTCAGAATAGATTTTTGGGTCCTACACATCCTGGAAAAAAACTGTTCTTTGTGCCTGTCTGTTATTGAAAATAGGACATTTGAGGTAGAGACTCAGTTCATTTAAAATTTTAGCTTCATAAAGTGGAAAAAAAGGAACAATAAGGATTTTGTATACATTTTAGCACTGGCCACATAGCTCAGTTGATGAGACTTGGTGCTAATGAAGTTGAAGTTGCTGATTTGTTTTCCAAAAGGATGTTCTGACAACAGAGCTCAGTGGGCCCTGTGAGGAGGATCAGACCTGTTGTACTTCAAGAGACTCTGAGGAGTTTGTTAATTTCTTTTATTTTTTTGAGACAGAGTCTTGCTATGTAAGCCCAGGGTGACCATAAATTCTCTATCTAGCCCAAGTTGGCCACAACCAACCCATGATCTTCCTACCTCAGCCTCCCAAATTCTGGGATTACAGGTGCACACCACCACACCTGGCTTCAGAGGCTTTTAATTGACAACTGTGCCTCAATAAAGTTGGAAGAGGAAAAAGAGAAAGAGAAAGAGACTTAGAAAACTTTTAGGTTTTCTTTCTTCCCATTTGAAAGAAGTCATCCTTTAAGTATCCCAGAGGAGAGGAAAGGACAAAGAGATGTGGCTGATGTTGAGGGACACCAACTTCCCTCCACTGTGCCCAGGACAACCCAGTACTAAACTTCCTTAGGTGGTCTTGCTGATAGATGTGGAGAGAAAACAAAGCAGACTTTGTGAGAGGACATGCCTTGTGCGAGAGAGCATGCCCTGTGATGCCTCTCTCAGTGCCTGTCTAGCTGTCCCCTGTATACCAGATAGGAAGTTTTATAGTTTTGTTTTGTTTTGTGGTGCTGAAGATCAAACCCAGGGCCTTGTGCATGCTAGGCTAGTGCTCTACCACTGAGCCACATCTCCAGCCCCTTCTAAAAGGTCACCTAGAATCTTTTCTCACTGTCTACTTATCCTGCTTTCCCAGCAATAGTATTAAGATATTAATATTCCCCAAAATGCTTTCACAGAGAGTTTCACTGAAAGAAGGGTAAAAGCTGCGCAGGGCTGGCCCAACCACTTACCATGTGGTAAACAATTTCAGGGTTTTTTTGGTTGTTGTTGTGCTAGATGGGGGTACATTGTGGCTTTATAAAAGTTCTTACAATATATCAAATATATCATACTTGAATTCACCCCCTCCACCATTCTCCTTTATCTCCCACCTCAGTTTTATTACCTAGATATTTTGCACAAACTGGAAGGAGGAACTGAAATGCATTTTGTGGTGTTCTGAGGAATAGAGATCTGGCATCGATATAGAATTTTCTACTAAAGAGTAGTTAGTTTTACTGCCTGTTGCTGTAAAACAGCTGCTGTCCCTTTCTCCCCCTCTAACACAAAATCACCCTAACTGGGGCCTTCTTAGACTGAAAAATATATGCAAGACAAGAGAATAAAAATGTAGATGAAGCCATGCAAATTTATTAGAAAAATAGCTGAAGTAGATGCTCATTGACAGAGAGTCTATATTATCCCTCATATGGCAAAGACAATTTTTATGGATGTCAATTATTTATATATTCTTTTATTTATCCCAGAATATCCTGAAGATATTATCTAAACATTTTAATTTAAAACCAAGTGAAAACTATAGCTTGTTCAAAATGCAATAGTGAGATTATTTTCATTTGGGTTAGCATCTGCTCTCTTCCCCAAAGAGTTTTCTTTAGTTATGGAAATTTAACAACCCAGGACAATTTAGAAAATGCTCTATTGGTTTGATTCAGGAGTTTCAGGTTTTTATTCTAATTCTGTTCTTGGCTGTGTTTTTAACTAAAGTACCTGGCATCCTGGTACTTTAGTATCCATATGGGAAAGGTGATGGGGAAAGAGGGATGTAAAAAGCATCTTTACTCACTGAAAAAATATATTGTAAAGGTAAAAAATGTCTAACATTCTTATGTTGGCAGTGTTTTAAATGTGGCTGTGCCAAGTCTGAGCATGCCATGAAGGCATGGGCAGAGGATGTATGCCAGGCCAACGATAATGGGAGAGAGTTTTGGGCACCAACTGTGCTTCCTGTTGTCTGAATAGACATGGGGGCAATTACAGAAAAGTGGCTGAGAGCCCAGGACAGAGAAAATAAAGGGAAAGCACAGCCGCAGCCACTATGACTTGGCATGTTACCATTCTGGGATCCTCTTATCATTATGACACTCTGAGGTCGATTGGGCAGCTGCTGCATAAGCCTTAAATAATATCAAAAGAGGATTATGTGAGAAATGAATCAGAGTATGGGGAACCTGGTAGGTCTGGCTGGTTGGAAGCTTGTGGTTCGTCATGTGTTTGAGCTAGCAGGCTGCTAATTTGATGTTATGGAGGAGGAAGACTTTTCACTCTTGTGGGTGAGGCTCCATTAAAGAAAAAGCCATTGTGGCTCAGGTGTGGGAGGTTGTAAGACACTGAAGAATTGTTAATGAGACACTCCTTGTGTGGGTGAAAGCTCATAAAACTCACTTTCCTAAGCAGGTATAGGTTTCAGCCCAGGTAGATATGAGTGAAGCTGATTTTGCCAAGATTAGCAGAGTGACTTGAAAGAGAATATTCTTGGATCTGAGCCTCTGAGTTTCAGCTCAGCTGTAGTCAAGCGCTCCAGGGCACACCAAATGCTGTGTATTCATTGAAGGTTCCTATTTGTCTCTTCCAGCTTCTGCTTCCTGCTCCTGGTACCTAATTTCTGCTCCTGCCTTCCACTTTCCTCCTAATGTGAGCTCAACCTTCACTTTCTCTCAGGTTCTCCTTTCTGTTCACTGGGCTGCATCCTTCTACAGTGCATTCTTTCCCTCAGTGTGTAGTGTAAGAAAGTGGGCTTTGTATCCCTCTATTCCCCTCCAGCAGAAAAATGCCCTTTCCTCTTGTACCATATGAAATTTCTGTCTCCTATCCTCATTGACTAAAATAAGTACTTATTCTCCTAAATCTAACCCAAGTGTTAAAAATACAGAATCCCCTCCTGCAACTGAAAAAGATTTTCAATGCGATAAACACATCTGTCCTATTACTTTGTATTATGTAAATTGTGTTTTTGGACAGGCTTTCTCCAATGGCTTCAATTATACTATTATACCCAGATTTTATTCTGCATTTTAATCGATCTCCTGCTTGCTAACCAAGGACCACCTGGTCCTTTTAGAGAAAAAACTAATTAAAACTATACAATGGTATCTCCATTTAGGTCCAATCTTGTTAAAATGTCTGTAAAAGAAAAAAAGACTTTCGAGCTCCAAATAATGCCTTCATTACTTCCAACAGCATTCACTTTAATACCACTGGGTCACATTTAAATGCTTCCGTTATGCTTGGTAAACTAGTTTGTAGCCTGTGTTTTTTTTATTGTTTATTTATTTTTTCTTCGTAGTACTCTGCCCTTAGAGTGAAAGGTGTTGCTGTTAACTAGCCACTTCCACTCAGTTTTGCGCCTTCCTTTTAAAATCTCTCCAATACTATTTGGGAGTTTACCACTAATTTTATTAAACTCCCTTTATGTTCTCTCCATTTTATGTTCATTTTCTACTTCCATTTCCTGTCTGAATCTACTTGGGAAACCATTCCTATGTTTTGTTTCTCCTCCTAGTGATTCGTGTGGCAAGTGAACCAGCAGTCTGAATTTTTTATGGGCCTCTTTTTAGGTTGTTTAGTCAAAAGTCTATCTTGCCCAAAATCTGACCCTTTTCAGCATAACCATTCATGTTCTGGTCATGGGATTTTTGTAATATTTACCATCCTGTGTTTTCTGGTAAGAGCCCAAGCTGGTCTTGACAGCACAAGGGACCATCTACGTGCCTGTGAGAGTTTCCTGGACACCTAAGCTGCTTCTCACATCTACTGGCTGAGACGTTTGTGTTGGGGCAAGTCAAGGGCTGCTCACACATACCTACAGACTTCTCCACCCCCCAACTTGAGTAGCCATTTCTTATCATGTAACAATTCATAATATTTTTGGAATTCTGACTTTTATCATATTAGAATACCAACTCTTATTTTTTTAAGATTGAATTAGCAGATTGAACTAGTGTACCCCCCATTATTCCATACTGTGCAAGTAGTTTATGAATTCCCAGTCATTAACTAATACATTACCCCATTGCATTAGTTTTATTCTCCTTTGGGTTTGGAAATATTATGGAACTGAGAGCCTTTTTGGGCCATACCTTCTTCTGGAAAGGCCTAATAAAATGGTTTGTGTCTCTTACATTTTTGTGTCAATTTTGACTTGCTTCAAAACATTGTACCTAATTGAGCAACTCAAGAAAGCAGAGAGGAATAAAAGATGCTTTACTGGGATTGAAATGCCTTTACCCAATTCCCAAAGCTAAATGTTCTTCCTGTCCTTGAAAGTTTCCCTTTCAGAATCTGTTGTTCTAATAGTCTGTCCTGCGTTTACTTGGCACTTGAATCAAACTTCTTTCTTCTGTGTTATGATGTCATTTTCTCCTAATTCCACTCCCACCCTCAACCCCCATTCTCTGCCCTTAACATTTTGTGTGTACTTTTTTTTTTTTCAGTACTGGTTTAAACTCAGAGCCTTGTGCTTCTAGGCCAAGTGCTCTACCATTGAGTCACGTCTCCAGCCCTTGTGTACACTCTGTGTGTTGTGTATGTAGTAGTGGTGACTTGTCTACACCTTTCTCTGCAATACAACCCAAGTCCACCTGTCCTCTAAGGCAGCTACACTTAGGACAGCCAGATAGTTTGGGAAAGGAATTCGGGAGAGCCTTTTGGCTTTAAAGAGTCATCTGATAGAATTGGAGCAAGTTTTGTGTTCTTGTAAGAATTGACTAACCAGCTAAGGAAGCCCTTAGATAAGTAAATCCTAGGTCCATCTCATCAGACTACTAACTTATCACTCCCTGTGCTAGTTAAAGTTGTCTTTTTTTCTTTTTCCTAGAAGTTTCAAGCACCTGCAAGAGAGACCTGTGTAGAATGTCAGAAGACAGTCTACCCAATGGAGCGTCTCTTGGCCAACCAGCAGGTGTTTCATATCAGCTGCTTCCGTTGCTCCTATTGCAACAACAAACTTAGGTAAGCCAGGCCAAAACAGGCCATCTCTGTATAGTTGGAGCTCCAGAGATAATCTTTGGCTTTTAGAACACCCGCACTAAAAAATTATTATGCTAATGGTCTTGTATTGGAGGCTCCAAATGAAGTAAAAAATACTGCTTAGTGACAAGTCTTTTTTTTATTTTATCATTTTTACATTTACTCACACACGTGTATACATTGTTTGGACCATCTCTCTCTCCCCCACACTCTGTGACAAGTCTTTCATATCAAATGATAATGGTGTTTGGGACTTCTTGATGCATTGATGTGTTCATTTACATGTTAGAACTGAATTCTACATAATATGAATTACAAGTAAAGCCCCTTGTAACCTAGTTTAGTGGAATGTTTTCCTTTGGTATCATAGAATCATAAAGTTAAGAAAACCCAAACTGCTACTTTCCTAAATCCTTACTTCAGAGTGTCCTAAGCATTGTGTAAATGGTAATAATAGCAACAATAATAGCCCCTGAAAAGCATGTATGTTTCTCTGTGTTGCTTCATTGTATTTGTTTCTGAGAAAATAGCACTCTTGAAAGGTGTCCTGGCATCTACAGGTCACTTATGGGGGTAGATAGTTCACCACAGCTAGATCTGGTATTAGATAGCTCCTACTAGACAATTCTCCCTTATAGTGAGCCAGAATCTGCCTCTGTGACTTCCATTCATTAGTTCTTTTTCTTCTCATTGACTTTTTTTCTTCAAAACACATTATTTCTTTTAGGGAAATGCTGTTGTTTTTATAAACCTTTAAAATACGTTACCTCGTGAGAGACCAAATCTAGAGACTTATCCAGCACTGACATTAGGTTAAGACATACTTCCTGGCCACCACTCACTATTCTTCTATTAACCATAGCTGACTTTTATTCAGTCATTGTAGCTAGTAATTCAGAGTATTATATCTATTCTTATAGAATTATACTTTTCAAATTATGGCACAAATGGGAAACTAGGAGGAAAAAAGATTCAGCTTTTTACAAAGGAATATCATTATCAGCAGTTACAAGTTATCAATATTGAGGAAATGTATGAGTGATCAGAACTAGGAGAATTACCTAAGGAAGACAGCCTGGAAAAAATTTTGACAGAGAAAAATGAAATCATTTGCAAATGACGAGCACATACCAGGTAGAAGAATGACTTATGAAGGTTTAGTCTTGGAAGTGAGCCTATTCTGTGTAAGGATAAAAATGACTAATGTGCTTTAAAGTGATTAGGGAATTTTAGATCACTGATGTGCTTTTAAAGATATTTTTGTCACTTTGAATCTTCTGAAAATACTAGAAATGCTATATTTTAGCTTGCTGGTATAATTGAGAGTAAGAAAGTGTGCTAACTTTGTTCTTTTTATTTTGGTGGCAGTCTAGGAACATACGCATCTTTACATGGGAGAATCTATTGTAAGCCTCACTTCAATCAACTCTTTAAATCTAAAGGCAACTATGATGAAGGCTTTGGGCACAGACCACACAAGGATCTGTGGGCAAGCAAAAGTGAAAATGAAGAGACTTTGGAGAAACCATCCCAGCTTCCAAATGCAGTGGAGACCCCTCAAAGCCCAGGGGTAGAAGATGCCCCCATTGCTAAGGTAGGTGTGCTGGCTGCAAGTATGGAAGCCAAGGCCTCCTCTCAGCGGGAGAAAGAAGACAAGCCAGCTGAAACCAAAAAGTTGAAGATTGCCTGGCCGCCCCCAACTGAACTTGGCAGTTCAGGAAGTGCCTTGGAGGAAGGGATCAAAGTGTCTAAGCCCAAATGGCCTCCTGAGGATGAAATCAGCAAGCCAGAAGTTCCTGAGGATGTAGATCTGGATCTGAAGAAGCTGAGACGATCTTCTTCACTGAAGGAAAGAAGCCGCCCATTCACTGTAGCAGCTTCATTTCGAACCTCTTCAGTCAAGAGCCCAAAATCTTTGTCCCCACCAATCCGGAAAGGTTGGAGCATGTCAGAGCAGAATGAAGAGTCTGCAGGAGGGATAGTGACAGAAAAGAAACAAGTGGAAAATGCCATGGTCTCTGGGAAGAATGGGAGTGTGGGAAAAACAACCAGGCAAAACACAGAATCTAAAGGAGAACAGGCAGGGAGTAGAAGTAAGAAAATTCATAGTTTTGAGATAGGGAGTGAGAATCTCTTAGAAAATGGTGCAAACATGGATGAAGATGACAGCAACCTCTTCAACCAGCAGTCTCCACTAGAATCCAAGCCTCCAACTTGGTCCAGCTTTGTAGACAACACTTCCACTAAAGAATTCACTACTCAAAATCAGAAATCCCAAGATGTGGGGTTCTGGGAGGGAGAAGCAGTCAAAGAGCTGTCTGTAGAGGAACAGATAAAGAGAAACCGGTACTATGATGAGGATGAGGATGAAGAATAACAAATTGCAATGGTGCGGGGCCTTAAATTCATGTTAGTGTTAGTGAGTCACTGCCCTTTATCAAAGTGATACACAGGAACATGTATCTTAGCATGAATTGTCATTTATGTGGAAACAACTTTGGAAACAAATTCCTCCTACAAATAAAAAAAATCCCATATGGCAGTTTAAGTGAACCAACTCTAAATGCTGGAGATAACATTACTTAAAACCTCCATTTTAGCATCGAGGATATGCATCAGTATCTTTGATATGCTTCAAGTGATACACCTGATTTCACTGTATTCCCAAAAGATAATACTAAAGTGAATAATTAGTAGTACATTTTTATACAACAAATACTATTGTGGAGTTAGAGAACATACAGAAGGGGCCTAAACATTATGACTGAATGCACTTTACTATAAAGGGCACAGTTTGTATATTTTATAAATGAATACCAATTTAATTTTTTTAGAATACAACTGTTAAGAGATCAAATATTTAGACTTTTAAAAAATTTTAGGTTAATTTTCTTACATATATATATATATATATATATATATATATATATATATGGAATTTATTGCTTTGCCTCTGCTCCCTTCACCTTGAATAATATAGCTACCCTTTCAGAGCACCTTTGAAGACAATAAAAGAACCAACCTACATGCTTTGGTGCTTGGAAAGATCCATTGTCTCTCAAATAAGCTATGGTATTAGCTAAGGAGTTTAACCACACTGCAAGTGCTTTCTTTTCTGATGGTGTCCGTGCTTCTCACAATGTACTGAAAGCTGTAATATTTTTGTGAGACCTTTTGGATCACTGCTCACCGTGCTCCATGTTAAAGCAAAATGAAGAAATCAAAGGAGGAATAACAAAGAACTGCCTTAAACCACTTGAGCTCAGATATCCAAACCCTGCATTCTACTTCTGATATCCCCTTTCTGAAACACTAATTTTTTAACAATATGTATCAGTTCTGAAATATATTGATTTTTCTGCAGACAATACACACAAGATGAAATTAAACAAACTATAGGCTTTTTTCTTAAGATGATTTTCTCTAGTATTAAGGCTTTGGAGCATTATAAACTTGAGTACATTTGTTGTATATAATTGATATTCCAAACTGTATGTATGAGAAGGAGAAGTGTTTTAAGCTATAGGCCTTTTCTGCATTTGTAGAGATTTAGCTCTAATATTTTTTAGAGATGTAAAATATTCTGCCTTCTTACATGCCTTGCTTAGTTTCAAACATTTTTATTCAATAAAGCATTTAATTTACATTTTAACTTTTCAATGCTATTTTTTTATTCATCATTACAATCTCCCAGGATCTACTTTTAATTTTTAGCATGACAAGAAAAGGCAAATGGGATTTATGTGGAGAAGAGAGGCATTATGACTACATTTCACCACTAGGTGGTGATACTGGACTAAGCTTGGACTTCATTCCCCTGAAGAAAGGCAAATTTTTCTGGAAAATTGCAAGCAATTTGGCAAGACAGTTGCTGTATGTGTTCAGAATGAGCTGTTTGTTTTACCAATTCAAAATCCAGTAGTGGTTTTCTACTATTTATTGTATTCAACATTTAATAATTCACCTTATAATTATGTCTAGCACGCTAAATAGAATTTCCAAATCTGCCGAAAATAGATGTGTTTTCCATCTTGGGTAGAGGCTTTTTTAGTTGTTTGATTTCTTCTGTAGAAACAACTCCAATTGTAAAGCTTTTTTGTTGTTTGTTTTAATAGTAGGGTGGTAAATGGATTTCCTTGGAGATAGTATGTTTTTAGTCATCCGTTACATTTTCTACAGTCAGTGTGTATTCCAGGGTATTCTCTGGTCTTCTAAGTGTATGGCAGGAGACTACTTCCACTTTTGCCTCCACCCCAATCTGTAGTCATTTAGAAATCCTATTTACTAAACAATTAGTCCCTATTGACGTAAAATACATAATCTTGGCTTGAGTTTAGCTAGTAGTGCTGTTTGCTAGTCTAACCTTTTCATATGGTACACACTATAGGTACTGACTTTATACAAAAAAGTCAGAGTGCCTATGGATATCAATTGAGTGTGTCATCATACATCAGGTAGTTAGAGACTAAGATTACTCTTAGAACCCTTTCTTATGCCTTTCAAGGGATAAGCTAGACATAGCATCACTGTAAAGATACAGAGAATAGAAACAGTAACTTCAGGTTCAATATAATAATAGGATGTCCTTGTCAAGAGGATGACCAAATAATATAACACAAGGAAAAATCTACAGTCAATCAAAAGTGTTAATAATTTGTTCCTTTCAGCTTTCTGAAGGCAGCCTTGTTTGGACTTTATGTGTCAATGGTGACAATGATTTTTTTTTCTTTTGGGAAAGGAGGACAGGGGACCATCTTGGGGCTTAAGGAGAATCCTGCTCATGACTGGTACAAGTTCAACCAGCAGCTTGCTGGCCAAACCACACCAGGCCAAAGTCAAAGGTGCACCCGGTTTGCTTTTGTCACAAACAACTGGCTGGGGATTCTTTTGCCTATTAGGATAGAAGTTGCAGAAAGGCAAAGGGACAGATCCTTTGGTGTTGACATCCCTGAGTTCCAGAGACTCACATGCTGGACTTCCAAATCCAGAGGCTTTTAGCTCTAAGCCTTAAGAATCAGAGACTTATTGGCCACAGTGTACAAGTGCCAACACCCACCAGGGTTTGCAATCCTTGTAGTCTTGGCTTCTGCCTTCACAGCTTCTTGTCTTCTGTAGCCTCAGCTCTTCTCCAGACTGCTCTCTGGAACTCTTTTTTCTTCTTTTGGTAGGATTGGGGTTTAAACTCAGGGCTTCATGCTTGCAAAGGAGGTGCTCTTCTGTTTGGGCCAGGGCTCCAGTCCATTTTGCTCTGGTTATTTTGGAGATGAGGTCTTGCCAACTAATTTCCCAGGCTGGTCTAGGACCTCTATCCTTGAGATCTCAGCCTCCCAAGTAACTAGGATTACAGGCGTGAGCCACCCGTATCTGGCTTCTCTGGAACTTTTCAGCTATCTCAGAAGTGACTGAAGAGTATTATATCTCAGAGCTTTGGGTATTGGGGCCCTTAGCTTTTGAAGACTGTCTGTAACTCTTTAGAGGCCTGTTTGTGCTGTTGGAAGCCCAGGGTTTTGTTTTGGTTTTTTTTTCCCCCGCTTTTTATGCAACCAGCTCAGCTCCTCTGTGACAAAGACATTCAGGAAAAGCCTTTATTTGGGCCTAATACTGCAATACCAGGAGTTCAGCAAACAGAAGAGAAGCTTCCCAGAGTAACAGAAAAAGAGTGGCAGTTAACCTGCTTATATAGCCAGAAGAGTGTACATGGCATGCTTGTGCTCAGATTGTAATTCCACCAATGAAAAGCCTTATATATGAAGTAATCATGCATAACGGCCAGTCACAAGCTTCACATTACATCAATCACAGGCTTTTTGCTGAGTCACTAGAGTGGTGCTTCCCCACGCCTATCCTGAGTGAGAATAGCTCAAGGGTGAGCAGGGTCATCTAACAGTTCACCAAGGCTCTCCTCCAGTGGAGTATTCCCAAAGCCAGTGCAAGTTACCTGGAGCAGTTGTGACTGGAGCAAGGCCTCCTGAAGCAGTTGTGGTTTCAGCAGTAGCTACAGTTAACATTGGTCCCAGAGGCTAGAACTTATCCTGAAGTGTTCAAGGCAGCCAGGATGCTATGATGACATTGTGGCTCCCAACTCAAAACAGGTGGGGGCTGGAGGCGTCTCAAGTGGTAGAGCTCTTGCCTAGCAATCACAAGGTCCTGAGTTCAGGCTCCAGCACCATCAAGGCAGGTGGGCACAAAGGAAAGATCTGACTGCAATCAACCAAAGGGTCAAATGGGCGGGGCCAACAGTTTAGCTTAGTTGAAGAAAAAAGTACACATTGAAAGATATTTACAATAAAGACTTACTGTTGGGAAAAATGACCCAAACATTGTATGCACAGATGAATAAAAGAAAAAAAAAGACTATTAACATTATATTATTAACATTATTTAATGGTGCTTATCTTACCAAATAACCCTTAGGGAGAGTTGGGTCCTGTCTCACTTTCATCACATAATCACATACTTTATTAGGAATATGAAATTGGTACAAGTACATTTTTGGGGAAACAGAATTTTGAAAAGGGTCTCAGACCTAGAAGATTGTATACCAGTTCCAGCATAGAGTTAGCATGTTCTTTGTTCCTTGAGGCTCTGATTTAAGTTCCCATGGAACCAGAAGAGGAGTTTACCTCCTCTTAAAATATATCTTGAATATAAGATAGCTACTATTAAACTGTTTCTGGGTTTTAATGAAAGTGACTTCAGGCAGTTCTCAGATAAGCAGGAGTAGCATCCCTATGAATTTGTTAGAAATGAAAAATGTAGGGCTGAGGGTATAACTCAGCCATAGAGTGCATGCTTAGCTACTTCACATGTGTGAGGCCCTGGGTTCAATTTCCAGCATATACATGTAAGCATGCACACCTGCACACACACACACAAGAGATGCAAGTTTATGGGCTCTACCTCCCAACCTCCTGAAATCAGAATTACTCTTGCTGGAGCCCAGAAAATTTATAATACTCTCTCCCCTTCTTTTGGGATATAGGAACAATCTAATGTCTGAGCTGACATGTGCTGAAGTTTGATAAGTACTGAGATAAAGCAAACTGTTCAGTCTTGTTGGAATGGCTGCTCCAACCCACCCCCACCCTAAACCTTTAATTCAGGCGTAAGCATACCTTATTAGTTTATAAAATTACATTATCCATCCTTTGATTACAGGTAGAGATTATTTTCATCTTTTTTTCAGATCATTCTAGTTAACCCTCCCAATTAACCTTGTATCTAGGTTTAAACAAACAGGGTTCAGGGTTCTCAGGCAATTAAGGGACAATTTAGTCTTTTGAAGGCACCTAGTTTATAGCTCCGCTCCTTATTTATATAGACTCATGCAGAAAGTTCAATGTTCAGTTTGAGAATTTAAAATTAAGGTGTTTCTAGGACACCGGCTCAGGGCTCTGGAGTCTAAAGACTTTCTATCTACCACTTCTTATCTACATAACCTTGGCAAACTGTTTAGCTTCTCTGGACTTCAGTTTACTCCTCCATAAAATAGTGGGATAACAATATCAACTTTATAGGATGAAGGAGGGAAATAAACGGTGAAAAATGTTCTGTAAACATTGGTTATCATTTATTTTTCTTTTGCCTTATCATTTTACTGCTTCACTTTCCATGTTGCTTGTCTTCCAACTCCTTTTCTTCATGAGAAGAAAAAAAGGGAGCTAGTTGTGATGGCAACATCTATAATCCCAGTATTCCGGAGGCTGAGGCAGGGGATCAAGACTTGCACCACCATGCTCAGTTCAAAAGGATATTTTAAAAGTCTAGGACCAGGTGTGGTAGCTCAAACCTATAATCCTTGGGAGGATCACGGGCAAAAAGTTCCAAGACCCCATCTCAACCAATAAAAGCTGGGCATGTTGGTGCACAGCTGTAGTCCCCACGCATATCATCTCTTTGTAAGAAGCACAAATAGGACCGCAGTTCAGGCCAGACCCTATCTCAAAAACACTCAAATTAGGGGCTGAAGGCATGGCTCAAGTGGTAGAGTGCCTGCCTGGCAAGCATAAGGCCCTGAGTTCAAGCCCCAGTAGCACTAAATAAAGTCTACTTTTTCCTAAGGAAAAGTGACAATAACTTTTGAAGCATAAAGCTGAGAAAAGGGTTGAAGATCTCGGAGGAGAATGAAAGGAGGAAAAGATTGGGATTAACAAGAACACTTGTCGTAGTAAGTAGTAGTAGGTAGGACCAGCAAGATAGGCTGGCTGGACAGAGGCTTGAGAGTGGAGACCCGGGTACGGCCAGGCTGGAAGTGGGAATGGATTTGAATTCGCTGGACTGAGAAAATGGAACTTCTCCATAAGGGAGCTAGGCCTGATACAGGGGCGTGGCGGTGGCTGCGCGGGTGAGAGAGGGAGGAGAAGCGTGACCTACACCCATAGCAAAAAAGGGCGGGGCCAGAGTCAAGGGACCTGTGGGGGTGGGGCCTGGATTACAGGGAGGCGGGGCCGTGGGGGCGTGGTCGGGGCCTGAAGGGCGTGGCCACAGCTTGTGGGTCGGGTCTCAGCTGGCTGCCGCCAGACATAGGCTGACAGGGGGCCGGGCCTGCGGAGGAGGCAGGCTGCGCGATGCTGGAGACCTGAAGGGGCCGGAAGGGGGTGGCCGCCAGCTGGGCTCCGCCCCGGGGCCGCCTCCCAGCGGGTTCCGTTGGCCGTGGCTGCAGCTGAGGCTGCGGCGGCGGCGGTGGCCGCGGGGCGGGAGTAAGATGGCGACTGCAGCGGCCGGATCTCTGGGCCTGCTGTGGGGCTGGCTGTGGAGTGAGCGCTTCTGGCTGCCTCAGAACGTAAGCTGGACCGACCTGGAGGGCCCGGGCGACGGCTACGGCTACCCGCGCGCCCGGCACATGCTGTCGGTGTTCCCGCTGGCAGCGGGTATCTTCTCCGTGAGGCTGCTCTTCGAGCGGTGAGAGCCGGCGGGGCGGCCGGAGGGCGCGGGCTCGGGAGCCATGCGGGGCGGGAGGCCGGGGGCCGGAAGCAGAACTGTGGAGAAAGCCCGGAAGCTGGGGCTGGGGGAGCCGGGGCCGCGGCGGGGATGCTCGGAGTGTGGCCGAGGCGGACCTGCAGCTTGGTGCAGACAGGGGGGTTGGGGCGTGAACAAGTGAGAGAGTGAGTCGAGGGGAACGCTGGGCCCCCTCAAGTTTAGATCCCGAGCTGCTTGGGGAGTCTTAAGGCCGCCTCCCAATCGCTAAGAATCCCACAGACAGAGGAAACAGGTTGAGGGTGAGCTGTGCAGACGCGAGGAACAGGAAGGGGTCTGGAGAGCCAGAGCTCCTGGACGCTAAGGCATCAGCGCTAGCACCAGACGTCCCCTGAGGACCTTAAGTTTTGCGAGGACACTTGAGCTGCTGAGAGTGGAGGGAAACCGGAGTCATTAGGCCCCAGGCCTTGATTTGGACAGTCGTTTGTTGGTGTAATAGAAGATAGCAGTTGGGACAGGGTGTGGTGGAGCCTAAGGCTTCCAAAGAATTGGGAAGGTATTGGATAGGCTCTAGGGCAGCCCTCAGAGGCCTGAGGTGGCAGGAGGAGTTGTCATCTTGAAGAGATGGGAACCCCAGGGTTAATTAGAGGACAGCTTTGTTGATCCGGCTTCTAAATGAGCTTAGAAAAATCACGATTTACTTTGTCTAACCATGTGGTCTTGGTGGAAGTAATTTCACCATGGCGGGTCATAGCTGGTGTCTAAAAGATACTCATTTTGGAACTGATGTGGTATTTTTATAATACGGTTTTATAGCTGTAAGTGGTTTTGATCAAGCTTACTCAGCCTCTAGGAAAGGACATTACCTTCTGCATAGGTAGTGAGGGTGGCACTTTGACATCTGTCAGTTTACTTTAACTGGAGCAGCAGCAGTTGTAATGTAGGATGGAAATGTTTCAGACAAAATAAATAATCTGTTACTCTGTGAGATTAATGTTTTAGATTACTTCTTTGATTTGCCCATTTCTAACACAAAAATCTTATTAAAACATGTAGCTAGTCATTATCTGCTTATTCTATATTATTTATTAACGTTTGTCTGTTACCAAAGTGCTGTGCTAGACGTTCAAGTGCAGAAATAAAAGTTTTTTAGTTGAATTAAATGAAACCCAAAAATCTAAATGCCTTTTTTGAATCCTCAGGAGCTTATGTTGCAGTTTTTAAAATTATAATCATTGTGCTAAGTATTCCTGGGGTGGAGGTACAAACCACTTGTCTCTCAGGAGTAAACCAGATCCTGCATGTGAGTGTTGAAAAGAGAAGGAAATGTAATGACTATAAAAGAAAACGCACAATTCAAGGAGAAAAAAAAAGTTCGTCTAGGACTTATTTGCTTTTCATTTAAATGCATACCAGTTTTGGTAATTTCCCATATTAGTGATAAAATAACATGTTGCTCATAAATACCCATTATATATAAAATTATGTATCTCTTCAGCAGATTCCTAAGGGTATTCCTAAGGATTCCCCCAGGTGGCTGAAGACATACATTCCCTGGCATAGTCACTGGAAGGGATCCCTTACTTGTTGGGATTCTATCTGAATGTTTCTATGGTGCTCCAGCATAAGGGGAAGAAGGGTGGATGATAATACTGAGCAGAAAACGTTCTAGTATGATAAGGACAGGCACATTGTTTGTTTCATGTTTGCTTTTAGGAAAGTTTAACCCTAGAAAGTCTTGCTATTTTGTTTCCCCTTAAGATTTGCTACTTTAGTAACTGACTTCTGAATTACCAATTCCTAACAGACTGGTCTTCCATAAAAGAAACAGAAGCCACTTGTAGAAGCTGGATGCAGTGGCCCACTGGTGTAATTCCAGCACTAGGGAGGCTGAGGCAAGAGGATCATGAGTTTGAGGCCAGCCTGGGCTACATAGTGAGACCCTATATTTTAAAAAGTAATAAAATAAAATAAAATAACTATCAAAAATATTAGGAAATTAGTCTTTACTACATTTTCTCATATCCCACCTGTTTATTTTCTAGAAGTGATTCATATGGATTGTTAAAGAAGTAGAACTCCAATATCCTTTTACAAACAGTAAACTGAAGTCTTAGAACCTACAGCTTTAGGACTGAGATTGTAGCTCAGTGATAGAGTGCTTAATTGCACAGGCCCTGGATTCAATCCCCTGAATCCCCCAGGTCCCCTGCAAAAAAAAGATAATGATAATAATAACATAGCATTTCAGAGGTTGCATATTCATTTAGGGAAGGAGCTCGAACCAGGATTCAGGTCATTTTCCCCAGCTCAGTGTTCTTTCCATTGTATAACATGGCTATCTTTTCCTGTTCCTTTAACTCCCTTTCAGATGTTAAGATTTAACAGGGTATGGGGGGAGGGGAAATCCATGTTCATTCTATTCTTGATTATTTAATGCATTTATTTAGAAGTCTTAAATTGTTACTGTATTTTAAAGAGTCTTACACTATCCCCCTTGATAAATGATGTCTATTTATATTGTTTCAGGAATCTCCCAAAGAATATAGAATTTACAATTAATTCTTACTTTAGTTTCCTTCTCATAAACTACCAGGAACATTTATTTTTTTATTCCATATTCCCTGGAGAACTGCAGCTTTATCTTCTAGGTATGACTCTAAAAACCATCTGACCATAAATAAAGTGTTTGTATCTAAGTAACTATTTTGCTAAAGAACTACAGAATGGGGCTGTGATAGAGTGCTTGGCTAGCATGTGTAAGGCCCTGGTTTCTATCCCTAGAACTGCAAAAAACTAAGGGCAGTTATTACCTATCAAAGAATTGAGACTTTCCTTTGTGGCCTTTGTTGCTGACTGTATTGTGGTGGCCTGTATTCTGCACAATGCCTTAGGTAGAACATGTGATCAGTAAATAATAAATGACTGAAAAGAGTCTACTCATCTACTCAGAGGCCCAGATGAATAACCAGAAATACAGATTTTCAGTATGAAATAGATGTTTGGCTTGATTGAGAGAGGTAAGATAGTTCTTTGTCTCTATTGTTAAATTTCACCATATTATATTTGCATGCTACATACCTTTTATAGCTTCTCTTTCCTCCCTCTTAACATTTTCATGCTATCTTCCTAACCTATTACAAGAGATTAGAAACTCTTCCATTTTTTGCTTTCTTTTTTTTTTTTTTTTTTTTTTTGTTTCAGTACTGGGGCTTGAACTCAGAGCCTTCACCTTGAGCCACTCCACTAGCCCAATTGTTTGTGATAGGGTTTTTTGAGATACGGTTTGCAAACTATTTGCCCTGGCTGGCTTCGAACTGCGATCCTTCTGATCTTTGCCTCCTGAGTACTAGGATTATAAGCGGAGCCACAGGCACCCAGCTGTTGCTTTCTTTATTATTATATTCCTGATTGAGACCTGAAAGAAAGAATGATCCAAGCTAGATCTGTTAGGTCTGATTTAAACTAAATCTTAAAGATATAAATTATTTGAAATTCAATGTCCAGTTCCCCAAGCACTTGTTCCCTGGAATCAAATGGGAACTTTAGACTTAATATTGATATCACCATATCCATATAGGTTTATTTATTTCAATAATGTTATTATAACAGGAACTTCATGTTGCCAGAAGAAAATTATTTTGTGAATTACACAGAAGATGGATGAGTGTTCTCACTCTGCTTATTCATTATTCCAATTCTCTTATCATTACTGCAAGGCAACCTCACAGGGGTGTATAAACAGCCTTCTGATAGAATTTTTTTTTCATTACTGGAATTTGAACTCAGACCCTTATACTTGCTAGGCAGGCACCCTACTACTTGAGCCACTCTGCCAACCCTTTGTGCGTGTTTGGTTATTCTCGAGATTGGGTTTCGCTATTTGCCCTTAGGTGGCTGGTCTCAAACTGCCATCCTCCTGATCTCTGCCTCCTAAGCAGCTAGGATTACAGGTATGAGCCACTGGCACTTGGCTCACCACTTTTTGTCACTGGGGACCAAACAAATTTACTTGCTCCCTGTCATGTAACTGAAAATAAGAATAGTGTATTCATTTTCTTGTGCATGTTTCTTTTTTTTTTTTTTTTTTGGCAGTATTGGGGTTTGAACTCAGAGTCTGGCTCTATTACTTTGAGCTATGCTCCCAGACCTCTCCATTTTATCTTCCCCTTGTAAGTCTTGCTACCTCTCCTGCATACTGCCTTTTTTCCGCTTGTTCTCCCCACTTCTCCTGTCCAAGTAGAAGAGCTTTTTTCCTCTTCCTGACAGGCCTGCTGCCCCCTTCTCAAATTTGTGTTGTGTCACAGCATTGTGGATCATTATTAGAAGGTTCTTCAGAGAGAGAGAGGCTATGGAGGGAATGGCAATAACTACTGGCCAGGTTATAGGGGACACAGCCCCATTCCACTGTGTTCCTAAAGTTATTCTGCTGGATGTTATTGAATTGTAAATCATAGAATTAAATGAGGTTTGCAGATCCAGCAGAGTAAAATTGGAAAAGATGGCCCCATGGCCCTGCCCTTATCTAAAAACTCATCTCTTAATAAGTTCCAGATGGTTAAAAGCCTTCTTTGTCTCTCTTCTCTCTGAGAAAACTTCTTTCCCCAGCCCTTTCTGCACAGTGGGTGTTGATGTTCTAGAGACAACTCAATACTGTCATGCGTGAGGTCAGGTTCCTCACTTATCCCTGGAGACGATAGTAACTTAAAGAAACATGTCAAATATTTTTGTTGTAGCCACTTACTGCTAAGGAAAACTAGGGTCTTCTGAATGGGTTTAAAAAAAAAAAAAAAGATTAATGAAGGGGAGGCAGAAGTGAAATCTATACCTTCCTTGTAAAGTGGGAAGGGGGAGATAATAACAGTTTTGACTTCCTCTCCAGAGGTATTTTTAGGCAAATAAAACCCCACTTCTGAAGAATCTAGAGTTTTGATCACTTTGTACTTGAATCTATTCCTACTTTTACTTTTAGGAAGTTAACTGAG